ACTAAATGTAGGCCATGAGAAGTAGGCAGCATTGCTCTCAGAGTGCTGACCACCAGATGCAAAAGGCTGGAGGGCCGATGGACTTAATGAAGGTAGATAAGGATGATGACTGCAGTAATTCCTTTCCAAGTCTAGAGCAGATTCCTCAGACTGTGTTAATCCAGAGTGATGATGGAATCTTAAATCTAATCTGTTCCTGTCCATCTTCCAGCTCTCCTACGTCATATAAATGCATCTCTCAGGAGATTCATATTTGTGATAAGAGGCACCAAATCATAAAGATAACCTACAACTTCATTCTTCTTCTTGTTCAGCCTTTAATGACACTTAAAAGATTTAGATTCAAAAGAAAAGAAGCAATCACAAAAGAATTATGAACCGCTCGTCAATAGAAAACCCCGGAAAGAAAATAGTAGACAAGAAGGGGAGAAAGAAATAAAGACAGAAAAGAAAGGAAAGATAAGAGACTACTCTGAGATAGCTAGAACAATGAAAAGAATCAGCATGCCAAAGAACTGTGCAAGTTCTTAAAGACCGATGAGATAAATCTAATCTGAACCAAAATCCTATGAGTAAATGTTGAATATTAACAAGTGGAAAATGGCACAGAGTGCACATTTAAGCTGTCATTTATCTAAATTGTCAATTTTACCTACATTTAATCATCTTAAGGATAGCACAATATATGAAAATGCCAGCTAAACATTTAATACCAGCTACTCTCTCTGTTTCAAAGCTCAAGGGTTCACAAACTCTTCAAAATGCATCTGAGGAAATGAATCCCATGATAAAGACTGGAACTTTAAGAAAATTAATGAATGCATACGCATGAGAAGGAAAACACCCCTTTCTTATGCAGAAATAACAAGCAAAATTAAAGCAAAAAAGGGAGAAACGGTGGGGTAGCTTGCAACAAGCAGAAGAAAGATTTAAGGATATATATATATATATATATATATATACAGAGAGAGAGAGAGAGAGAGAGCAAAACCCAGACACCGTTTCACGAAATAGGTTGAAGTAAACTGAGAATAAGGACCTAGATTGCAAAACCCAGACACCGTTTCATGAAATAGGTTGAAGTAAACTGAGAAAAAGGACCTAGATTGTTCATATTGTTCACAATGAGAGAAGAAGAGACTGAACCCGGAAAGCAAAACCCCCCAAATTCACACCTTGCTCGGAACCCAGATAGAATTTTTATCAAAACCAAAAGATAACAACAAATTTAAAAGCCATACTTAGAGAGAAGAGAGCTCACTGATCAATGGTGGAGGTGTGGAGGGCCTCAAAGCAAAGCACTTTGAAGACTTTCATGCCCTAATGAAGAATTTCCCCCACACCCATCATCTAAAAGATCAAGATTGTGTGCCACAATCACTCCATCAAATAATCTAAATACCATCCAGCTAAAAGGATTAGTATTGTGTTTCCACAAACACAGAAAAAGTGACAGAGAGTGAGAAAAAAGAGCTCCGGGCTGATTTGGTATTATTGTGCTTTGAACAAAAAAGGTATGATTCTTTTCTCTCTTTTTATCCTTTCCCTCCTCTTATTCTCTCCCCTCTCGTTCTCTTTTATTTGAACGGTCACGGTTAAGTCACGTCAATATCTTATATTAATTTTTTATAAAAAGAGAAAGATAAGATAATGTGAGAGGAAGGGATAGAAGATGATGGAAAAAAGAGAGGAGATAATCCTAATCTGAAAAAAAAATATAGTGTTAAAGTGTTTGATAAATTTTAATGTAAAACCACTGCGACTATGTAAAATTACTAAAAAAGATATAATATTGAATATTATATAATAATTTTTTTAGCTTTTCTTTTATTATGACATTTATAAGATTTATATAAATTATTTATATACAGTTGTGAGCTTAGAAAAATGTACTTTTACCTTTTTTATTAAGATATTTATAATTTTTTTTATTCTATTCTTTCCTCTAAGAGTCGTTTCTTCTTTACCTTGTCCCTATTTTAATTTTGCAGAACCTTTGTATATTCTATCTTCTGCCGCTCACTCCCTCTCTCCCCCTTCTCTCTCTATCTCTCTTTGCCTGATCCTAAGGAAGGCTAGGTCGTGGGGAAAGGAAGGTTGGGTCGCATCAACCGATTAGCGGAAGATGGATGAACTCTGATTTCAGGACTTACCGTCCATGTTAGCGGCGAAGGCGTCGACGCTTTCCCATTGAGATTTTGGGTGTCAAGCAGAATGGTGCAAATCTAGCATTCGTTGTGAAACCCAGATTTTGACAAAGCCTAGAAATTCGACGAAGAGGCCCCGAATTTCGACAAAACCCAGAAATCCGACGAACCTCCCACCGCTCCTGTTCCAGAAATCTAAAAGAAGCTCAGAGTCATAAAGGACAGAAGAGAGACATGGCGGGGTCGGCAACGAAGTCGACGGTATAATGTATAATTTATTTAATTGCTAAAGGCTATTTTGGGTATTGGAAAATTTCATTAAAGGTCTTAGCGCCTCTTGCGAAATCGGTTTGCGCAGAAGCTGAGCAAGCAAAAAAAGCCGGGTTTTCAAAGCTGGGTTTTGCAGCTTTGTGTTTTTGGCTTTTTTTTCACCCAAAACTGTGGAAAAAAAAATTGAAGTTGAATGTTTATCAAACATAAAAAAGTTCCCAACTTTTTTTCAAAAACAACTCAGTACCAAACTAGGGCTTACTATATAGAAACATGAGCTTTAAAGTTTAGAGAATGAGAAGGTTTTATACTTTCCACTCTTTGGACTTTGTAGAGAGAGAGAGAGAGAGGGAGAGAGAGAGAGAGAGAGAGAGAGAGCATATAATATCTAGTATCTGGTATTGTTTCTTAAATAAGGAAAAGGATTCTCTCCTGAGCATATGCTCAGGATCCTGCTGAGCAGGACACAAGGACCGTTGGATAAAAATTTAACAGCTATAAAAAGATGGATCCCTTTAAAGTTATAATAATTGTAACCGTTGGATTTTCATCCAACGGTCCTCGTGTTCTGCTCAGCAGGATCCTGAGCATATGCTCAGGAGAGAATCCTTTTCCCTTAAATAATACAAAGAATCATTTTTCTGAGTATTTGTTTATAGTACCCTTTTTCCCCTTTTTTCTTTATTTTTTTCTTTTTCCTTTCTCCTTTTTTGCACCTCATCACATTTTCGTGGTGGGATATTTTAATGGATGAGAGACGGGGAGAGAAAGGGAAATTCATCTTTTGGATCCCATTGATATTTAATTTGGAGGTGGGGAATAGGGCCACTCCATATTTGCTCCCCAAAAGTAGCACACTCTATCTTATATTATAGGGTTGGGGGTAGAGTGAGTGAGTGAAAGCAAAGATTCAATTTTTCTTTAGACATTGCAATTCACATTAAGCTCCTTTTTTCTTGCTTAATTCATTTGGGTTTTAAGTGTGGTTATTGTTTTTAAGCCATGGTTAACTAAGGGTTAATAGATAATTAGACATTAGGGTATGATTAGATGTGGGGCATGTGGGAGGGAGAGAGAGTTGGAGACAAACCCTTAAGTCTCTATCTCCCTACATCAAATCAGAAATGCCTTGTTTGCTGCATTATCTTCAACTTTTCGGCTGCACCACACCAACTTATCTCTTCTTCATTCATCATTCAATTATAATATAATGATAATACTAATCACTCTGCTCTGACTTAATACTTCTTCCAAGTTAATTGATAATCTGATAGACTAATAGTGATATGCCATTTGATATATATATATATATATATACACACACACACACACACATATACATACATATGTGCATATATTAGTATATATATGTGTATATATACTAGTTCTGCAGTATATATATGTGTAGATATACTCTATATATTATATGAGGTTGAGATAGCACAAAGCAAAGCTAAGTTTGCAATCACTTTCTAGCCTTTGCTTGTGGCCCTTTGAAGTTGGAAGATTGCATTTTGGGTATGTCAGCTTTTTTGTCATGTATTTATTTGTAGTCTACATTTGGCAAAAGATATGAACTTGCCCAGCATGGCTCGCTCAATCCCAACCAACCATGAGAGAGAGAGAGAGGAGAGAGAGGGGGATCAAAAGACTCCAATAAGATGTCATCCTCGAAGAAAAATTTCTACAATGCAATTATTTGATTAATGTCCACAAAGATGGGCCCACCACAATGATCTTGTTTTCTTTTTCAGAAAGGAATTTCGATTTTGCTAATTGTAGGAGCACTCACATCCAGTGTGTCCTTGAGAATCCTTTGCTCTAATGATATTTTCTTTTCTTTTTTGTCTTTTGCTTTTGCATAATTAATAGGCCCATCTCCTTCAAAAAGTAACTCAATTTCTTATAAATGTGGCCTTCATCATCAAACTAAGATGAAGAAAAAATCCGCAGATGTTCAGGTTAGTGTTTTTAAATTCTCATTTTCGTTAGAGTAATTCAGAATGTTGTATTGTAAATAAGAGTGGATAAATGGTTGTGGGTTGTTGGTGATATATTTCCCTGAAGGATGCAAGTTCAAATTTGCTCTTTGAGACTGTGAGTGGATTGAAGAAGCATAGAAAAAAGAGAACTTTAACAAAAAAACTCCCGGTACTCTTCATTTTAACGAAAAATTACATTTTTACACTAAAAAGTCAATCATGATACTATTCATTTTACCATCTATTTTGTCCTTATCGTTAAAACCTAAAGTTTTTAAACATTTTTCATTAGGTTAGGTGCTCTGACAATTTGTAATCGTTTTCCTTCTCTTGGTCATGGGGGCACTTACATGGGACATTTTGGGAGAAGACCTTCCACATATCCGATATCCCTAACAAAAAATTCAAACAAGCTTTTATTTCCTTAATTCAAAATAGGTAAAAAGTTCTAAGATTTCAGGAACGACAATGAAAATTTCACTGTGAATGTGAGGATAAATACTCGATCACTTAGACATACATGCCTAAATCTAAATTATCTCCATTTTTTTGCATATTTTTTGGGAAAATCCATATAACATGCTTTGGTTTGTAATTTGGGTTCTGTTTCCAAATAGGCCCAATTACAACTTGGAAGAGATTGACGAACGGCCCACTCGGCCAAATTCTCCCATCTCAAATCGCTGACGTGGCACGATTGCCACACCGTAAGCTCAGCTCAAAACGCAGGAGGCAGGGATACGAGAAGACGAGCGACAAACGAATGTAACGATAACGAACGATGTCAGAAGCGAAGCAACCGACAACGACGGCGAAATTGAGGGAGTGCGATCGGTTGCAGCGCGCGCTAACGGATTGTCACAAGCGGATCGGGCCGGGTCGGGGTCGGGAGGCGGCGTGCCGGCACCTGAACCGGGGATTGGCGGAGTGCTTGGTGTCGGTGGCGTGCCCGGAAGAGTGGGAAGCAGTTCGGAGCCTGTGCGGGAGTGGAGGAACGGGGCTGAAGCGGAGCCAGTGCCAGGAGGCTCAGCTGTCGCTCTCGGTCTGCCTGTCGTCGCACCAACACCGACTCAGCTCAAATGCAGATCAATAGAAGAAATGTTAATTAATTATTTGTTTGTAATTAGAAAGCAGATTAAGAAAAGGAAAAAAATGTAATTTGTTGGATTAAGCTTTTCTTTTTGTGTGTGTGACTGAATTACTGAGAATCAAGATCGCACTTTCAGAACTCCATCTGATCAAAAGATCCTGATTAATAGTTCGCACGACGACAGGGAGGTGGATGGTCTGCCCTCCCATTTCTATAATCTTCTCTTTGCATGCTCACGATTATGCCACGTTATTATTTTATTATTTTTATAAAAAATTAATATAAAATGTTGATGTAGCTTAACCGTGACCACACAAATATAAAGAGATGAGAAGATTATGAAAATGGAAGGGCATACAATTCACCTCTTGATGACAGGTGGTTTGACAAAAGAGATTTACTGATAGAACAAACGACAGATGGCTCGAGACCACCACCGTTGGACTCGCTTCGAGCCTCGAGCTCGAGAGAAAAGCCTAGTCTTCAAACCAGCACGCACGACAGCCCAACGAAGCTTAGGGAAAATCTGCAGAAACTGGTCAATTCGCCTCAACAGGATCGGACTAGGGTTAAACCGGGCGGACCAGATCTAATTGGACAGTCGAACCTGTTAGGTTAGGGCCAATCGGATGGACCGGTCCGAGTCAGACATGTTAAATGTACCGAACCAACCGAACAACCGGACTGAGTGAGACCGGTTGAGTCGAGTCAGATCGGTAGAACCAAGTCAGACCGAGCCGAGTCCGACCTTGGAATCGGGTCGGACCGGGCCGAATCAGATCTGTCTAACCAGGTCGGACAAGGTGAATCACGCGAAAAAATGGTCGAACTGAATCGGACCAGGCCAGATTAGACTGGACGGACTCGAGTTCAGATTGAATAGGAGCGGCTCCACCATTGACCATGAACCGTTTGAAGGGTGAGGTTCAGCTCCAGCTTGCTCAATTCAAAGGATCAGGTTCAGATCCAACTAGGTCGGTATCTGAGTGGTAACAATGAAGTAATTAACAAATTGTTTGGACCCAATTTTACAAAATCAGTTCGGCGTTGGATGGACAAAATATTTGGATCGTTCCTAGGATAAAGATGTTTTTATTTCTACGATAATTATTCTGATTAACGATATCTAGATATTATCAATCAGAATAGTTATCTTGGAATTTAAGTACATCAACAAATAGATTTTTATCCAACAAAATTGTAGTAGGATTCCATCTTGTCATATGGCCTTCATGCATGGTTGCGGCTGGATATACCAACATGGGGTTTGATTAGAGTTGTTAGGTGCATGGTCTTTATGCATGCATAGGTGACTTGCAGGTGGGATAAGTTCCAGTAGTAAGTTGGATAGGTGTCTGCAACGTGTGGGGCGTATAGACATTGAGAAAAACAAGGTGATTGTTTTGGATGTGAAAAGAGCCGTGTGTGACTATCCAACAAATTCAGTGATGGGATAAAGTTAAGTTGAAGTGGGAATAAAACAGGATTAGTATGTAGAGTCCTTATGTGCTAATCGTTTTATTTCTCAGAATATTCCATTACAAGTCTTTAGGTGCAATTGAAATCCTTTGCTTATCATTCAGGCCGTGGCAAGCTGACTCGTCCCTATAAATACAAGATGCCGTGCAACATTTCAGGCCCCTGCAAGTTAACACACAACTGCCCTGTGCAAACTCTCTCAACAACTTTGAGATTTTTATTTTCTCTTTTTGCTGACACATCTTCCGTTGGCATCAACAACACTGTGAAAGCAACCGGTGATATCTTAAGTCGGCATAGATAGCTCTGTCACCGCAGAATCAGCCAATCTCACAGCATCTTCCATTGGCATCAACAGCACTGCGGCGAGGACAGTTGGTTACCTATCCAAGTCTCGGTCGAGAAGGATTTCCGAATCCTTATTGGTCGAGGTCATCTCATTAGCCTTCTCGATGAAGTGAGGTGTTACAAGTTATTACATTCGGCACATTGAAAGCCGAATTTGATATTGAACTTCGTAAGAATAGTAGCCTTGTCTTTAGGTTCGAGAACCCAAGAGGCCGAGACGTGTTCCTTCCTCGGTCGCAATCGCAAGACGCAGAAGTCAGCCACGCACCCAACACAACATCAACAAATTTACTCCTCGGCTGACGAGTTGGCACACCCCGCATTCATCGAAGGACGTAGTTAGCTTATAGATTACTCGGCCTGCGCGCCACGTAGGCTTGGTAGTTTTTAGGATCAACACAAATAGATAAAGAAAAGTCTAAAAACAGGAGAAGATCATCATCAGTTACGTCATGCTTGTGTTCTTCCCTATGGGAGTAATTGTTTCTTTACTTATTATTAACATATCCAGAGTCCTATACTTTTATTACTATCATTTAAAAATTGCATATACAAAAAAATCATCATTTTGGAGATCTTTTAATCCTTTATATACATAAACAAATAAATGGTTTTTCACGATGATACTACTTATTATCAAAACAATTGGTTGCTTTGATATGTATGGATGACTAAAATTTTATCAAGAATTGGGATCAGAGACAGAGAGAAGTAAAGGTGATGTTCCTGGTGAGCTCTGAGTTTGACCGGTCAAATCCTGTGAGTACAAGATGCTATTGTATCGTGAGTACATGGTGCTATTGTGATCGTAAACCTTTGACATGAAAGTTGCGCCTCATCATGCAATCTTATGTAGAAAACTTAGAGCATCCCCAACAATTTGTTAACACATGACATTATATTCTTGTTTAGGTGGATCAGTGGGGTTCATTAACAGTTTCTTAGAAAGAAACTGTGGCTGTGGATCATATTTCTTGTTCAACTCTAGTAACAGCTGGAACACCTTTTGCCTCTTACGAAATTTCATTTTTGAGTTACTTGTATTGAGTCAAGTCGTTCTTCTTATTTACTTGTATTGAGTGCCACTGAACCAAACAATCATGTGCAACTTTAGTCTTAATTACAACTTATGTTGAACATTAGAAACCCTAATCCATCATATTTAAGTGTATGACAAACTAGTTCAAAAACACGGATATGAAGAGCTCATAGTTAACGGTAGTCAGCAACGTGTATTTCGAGTGTGAGAAAAGCATGATTTATAACTAGATAAAGCTCAACTCTTATTGACAAAAGTTAAGATGCAAGGTTCAAAAATACAAAAGCACGAGTTACAAATGGAAAAAAAAAAAACGCACAACCTCAACACACAAACGATATGTTACATATCATATGTAGTTTGATCTGCAAGCTGCAGTGTACACAAACTATGTAGAAAACCTGTCTCTGTCATGAGGAGAAGAGTAGTCGATATGTGGGCCGACAGGAATTATTCCGAATGGATTGATAGCCGCAATGTTGTAATAGCCTCGCTTTATGTGATCTATGTTGACTGTGCTGCTCACTCCAGGAACTTGGAAGATATCTTTCGTGTAGTTAAACAAATTCGGGTATTCTCGTAGCAGTTTCTTGTTGCACTTGAAGTTGACTGCGTAAGCCTGCCATCAATGGGAAAAAATTGAATCGTTAAAGACAACGTAACAACGTCGGTGCAGAAGAAACTGGCAGAATTTTCTGACAATATAAAATCTTGAGTGAGGAAACAAGCATCAGTACCTCGTCGAATCTTATAAGAGTGACAAACAACCGAATATCTGCTTCAGACATTGTGTTCCCACACAGGTAGCGTTGCTTGCTAAGTATCTCCTCGCATTTATCCAAAGCTTCGAACAATTCTTTCACAGCCTGAGAAGAGAGAGATTAACCAGTGAAACTAATTACAAATAGTCCTTAAAGAGAATGTAAACACCAGAACCTACACAGTCGAAACTAATTACAGCTTGCAAAACATACCTCGTCATAAGGCTCCTGCTTCCTCGCAAACCCACATTTATAGACACCGTTATTTATCATGTTATATATCCATTCATTCGTCTGATCAATCTGAGATTGCAAGTGAGGAGGATACAAGTCCAAAGATGCGTTTTCAGCTATGTCGTTGAATTCGGTATTAAACATACGAATAATCTCTGAACTCTCATTGTTGACAATTGTTTTAAGTTTTTTATCCCATAGAACCTACAAAAGTGAAAAGATCAATCACTTAGTTCCAGAAGAGAGCAATAACCAGAATAACAAAAGCGAAAGGAAAGAAAAATGAAAAGACCACTTATATGAGTGAACATACTGGAACTGTGTACTTTCCGGTATAATGAGTGCTTGCAAGATCGTAAAGTTCTCTAATAGTTTTTGCTCCGTTCAAAGGGTCAGGTTCAGCTCCAGCTACCTCGGTATCTGAAGCAGGAAAAACCCACCCCATATGCTCATCACTTTCTTTTGTTCTTTCCCATTTCGGTTTGACCGACTGAGCAAAACAAGCAGATATACAAGATTAACTTGTCTCTTGCAATGAAAACCTAATAAGTAATAATCTAATATAAAGTGCTCTACCGTAAAGCTGATGGCTTTCTCAAGTCCTTTGAGTTTCAAGTATGCCAGGCACCTACAAGCCCAAGGGCAAAGATATGATATATACAGATGATATCTCCCAGGTTCTGCCGGAAACTGCGAATTTGGGTCCCGTGAAATAAAGTTACGAAAAACAGAAGGAGCTCTCACAAATGCACCGGATTGTGATATCTCCATAGGTTGAGCCATTGGATAGCAGTCTGAAGAATCAAACACACGAAGAAATCAGTTTCCCTTCCTATCGTTTGATTAAAATTATATGACTTCGAGCATGTATATATCATCGTACTACTGTCTTCAATCCATTCCAGCTACAACTCGAATTGTCAAACCTTGATAAGAACCGAAAGGAAATTTTTACCCTTCTAAGTCTGACTAATGGACAGTTGGATGAAACTTAAGGCACACTTTTTGTTCTTCGTAATCAACCGATAATCTACGTAACAATACTTAACCCACTGAATAATTATTCTTGAAAAAGTTCTAGCTAACCCTATTCATATTTCGATATTTGGTTTCCAGTTCTGTACAGGTATTGAACAATTCACAATCACCAAATGAATAAATTTAAGAAAAATACAAGAACACCTACAGTAATCGATCAACGAAACAATCAATTAAAACTCAGATGAAATCCAACCAAAAAGAATTGTACTGGTTTTGCTTCAACGAACATAAACAGTTACCAAACGAGTTTTCACTTTTCAAAATATGAAAACTGAAAACTGAAAATTGAAAACTGAAATGATTTTCAAACCGGCTAACCCTAAATAAATGAAAAAAGATTTTAGTTACCTTCAAGAGGAGGATCTGAGGGGAGAGTCTGGGAGAAGATGTTGTTCAGGTCAGACCCGGTGGCTATAATACAAATTTTGGTAGTCTGAGGTGGTTGAGACTCAACACATGAATGGCACGTGGGGCTTTCTAAGTCGGAGTTGAGAGAACCATTAGAAGAAGTTACTTAGATATGAGTAATGCTAGAGAGATTAAACATGTACACAAAATTTTGTAAATAAAACGACATGAAAGTTGATGATTGAATTATTATTTAAGCGTTGATAAACATGTTCATTTGTTATTGGCGACATATAATTTAGTTTGTGAATTTTATCTATAAATTTAGTCTTCCTACCATTACTTTTTAAGTATAGGCTCATAAAGCTCTTATTTTTTCTTTCTTATTTAAATAAAAGCTCATCTATTTTTAAACATCCAAATAAAATTTAAAATTTAATTAGGTTGCCATATAAACAAATAATTGACTTATTATTACAGCAAAATATTTTTAACTTATACCACAATATCCTAATTATGTCAAATATTCTAGTTACCCACTCTAATTATGAGAACTAAAAGCCCTATTATAACTCATACTACCACATACTTACCCACTTTGTGTGTAAACATTTTTTTACTTTTAGAGTCACTTAATACTACGGTCTAATGATATTTCTCTTCACTTGTAAGTGTGAGGTCTTAGATTTGATTCTCGTCAAAAGCGAATTTGAACCACATTAAGGCTAAACCCACTCTCCTCCCTCTTAGTGTAAATAATATCATTTGTTTAATAAATAAAAAAAAAGGATGGAGAAAGGGAGTGAGAGTGGGGAAAGAAGTCTTTGTTTTTTTTTTAATATTAGATATATGCTAACATTACATGTAGGTAGGTTTAAATCAAAAAGGCTTTTTAGCCAAAATAGTCTATGAGATTTGCATAACACATCACTTTGGTCCCTGAGATTGTCCACCATCCATTATTTTGATCATTCCGTTAAAAACTCCGTTAAGTGTCCCAAAGCTCTTGACCGGAAGTTTGGGCAATTTTCAAAGCTTCGTAACTCAATCGTTTCTTAAGCAAATTTGACTCGTAATATATCAAAATGAAGATAGAAAAGTGTAGAGCAAGATTATACCTATTTGGAAGCCCAATGGTTGCCAGAGATGGCCATAAAATAGCCTGAAAGGTGACTGATCCATGGGAAAACTGGAAAACTAGCCAGAAACTGGGTAGACTTTAAACGTTCATAACTTCTTCAATACTCAATGAAATTGAGTGATTCAAAAATGAACATGAGACAAAGAGAATGGTACATTTCTCGACGGCTAATTTATCATGGTTTGGCCAGAAAACTGCTCGAAAGTGGCTAACTCGAGACCAAGAAAGCCAATTTTGAGCCGTTTTCTGACTAAATCACGGCGATTTAACCATAAGAAAAGGCACCATTCTCTTCATCTCATCGAGAAGTATGATTTTCATTTGTGAATCACTTGATTTCGTTGAGTATTGAAGAAGTTATGAACATTTAAAGTTTACCCAGTTTCTGGCAAGTTTTCCAGTTTTCCCGTGGACCAATCACCTTTTAGGCTATTTTTTGGCCATCTCCGGCAACCACTGGGCTTCCAAATGGTATAATTGTTTTCTACACTTTCCTATCTGCATTTTGATATATTATGGGTCGAATTTGGTTAAGAAATGATTAAGTTATGAAGCTTTGAAAATTGCCCAAACTTTCGGCCAAGAGTTCCGGGACACTTAACGGAGTTTTTAATGGAAGGACCAAAATAATGGATGGTGGACAATCTCAGGGACCATTTCTATTGATTTTCAATCTCAGGGACCAAAATGATATGTTATGTAAATCTCAGGGACTAATTTGGCTAAAAAGCCAATTAAAAAAAGCAAAATTTGGTTTTGTGAAATTACATTACTAGCCATAAATTTTTATTTTTTATTTTTTTTGTGTGGTAGAACATTAAATAGTATTTTCGCTCTTTTTTGGTTGATAAAGCATATTTTGTTTATACTTGTCTAATTTCCATTTGCAAACCCCCAAAAATATTAATTACCTACCAATATAAAACATTTAACTGATTTACCTATATGTAAATTCTTTTGATACACTAATTTACCTATTAGTATTATAATTAGCAATTGAACCCGCGTGATGCCTTGAGTTTTAAAACTGTATTGAACGTGTGAAGTGTGGATGCAAATTTCTCCCTCCTTCACTTGGACAAAATTACACCTACAAAATAATTAACACCTTTGGTTAAGGCCAAAAGCCTCACACGCCCACGATGAATGGGGGGGCTTTGGCCGAAGAACCTTCGATGCCAAAGTTAGAATTTAGAGAGAAAATTGTTTAGAGAGTTTTTTTTTGGAGTTTTGCCAGAGTGTGGACCTCCTTTTTAGAAAAAAATAGAGTCATATATATAGGGAATGGAGGTGGCCGGCCCTTAGAGGTTTTTTGTGTGAAAATGGGTGATTTAATTGGTGATTAATGAATTAATTAGGAAATAATCCATTAATTAGCCAATTAATCTCCATTTATATGGAATAATTTGTAGGTTATGAAGTAATTTATCTAAGATGAGGATGGATGAGATAATTTGGAATTGGTTACCTTTTTTGGACACTCTTGGCTTGATTAAAGAATGATTGTCCACTGCTCGCGCGTAGGACAACCGGTGTGTCTCAGGGGTAACTTTGTCCTTTCCACCAAAAATCCACGTGTCGCCTTGTGATTATTTTTGCCTCCACATGAAGTATATAAAATTCTATTTGCATCCATATCAAAAGTCTAAAGTTCATCCAAAGTGTATTTGGAGATCAAAAAATATAAATGTCTGAGTAAATGTAGAAAATCTTAAATGCATTTGGACACACATACCATTTGATTAAAAAAAAAAGGATTCTTGGTATGCTGCAACCAAAATAATGCAAATAGCCAGGTTAAAATATCATCCAAAATTTTCCATCTACATTATGAACTTATTATTCAAAATATTCTAGCAACCTTTATACAATAGGTTGGTTGGCCAATCAACTTTTCAAAAATAGGCGTTGAGAGAACACAAAAAAAAGGAACTTGTCAAAACAAATTTTCTGCCCAGAGGCTTTAGGTCTCAAGGCAGTTCAGCTCTGTGTGAATGTGAGTTTTAAGTAGGACAATTAAGTGCCAAACTTTTTTCCATACCTACTGTATCGTCATACCCACTGAGCGAGAGAACAGGGGGAAGTCGGATGGAGAGGGGCGACGCGGCTGGATGTCCAGCTTTTGATGCAGCTGCGACCAGGAAGAGGTCGAGTTGAAGACGGAAAGAAACTACTTTGTAGTGGTGATCTTGAGCTACGTCGTGCCCAAATTCAACGAAAAAGCCAAACTAAGTCGCGCAGAGAGAGAGAATCGGAAGAATAAAGAAGGAAAGGAATGGAAGCAGAGAAGTTGAAAGTGAGACAATTCAGCTGCCTTCCACGATTGCCAACACATTATACATATACTAAAACCCAACAAAAGTTATCACTGTTCATTAACAGTGTTCTTCCATTTCCATCCTGCTTCTTTTTGTTATTTCAACTTTGTCCTTCCTTCCTATATCTCCACCCAGCTTTTCTCTAGATCCTTCCCCATCTATACTAAAACCCAACAAAAGCTCTCCAGTTATAATCTATACTAAAACCCGGTGGAAAACCACACACTTGGCAGCAATGGTACATGCCTTTCCACAAAAAAATAATTAAAAAACCTTACCTCATCACACTTGACAGCAATGATGCATGCCTTGCCACCAAAAAATAATTAAAAAAACAAAAATCTGGAACATGCACAGAAAAGCTAAGCATGGATACTGAGTGAGATAGGATAAGTTATCCACTGTTTTGCCACGCGTCGATCATCGTGGATAAGTTCTCTTCAATTGCATCTCTCCAAATCTCCTTTAGTTTCCAAAATGTCCTTCTGTTTCCATTTGCTTTCCTTTTCTCAACCTTTGGTTTCCGATCTTCTCATCTTTCTCATTTTTCTCAGCCAAATCATCTGTGCAAATTTCTTGCGTTTAAAACCCTTGGAAAAATAAATAGTTGCTGCATCTTGCGTTTAAAATCCCTGGGTTAGTACTGATTTTGTTGGTTTTTCGATTTTATCAGGGTAGATTTGTTACCTCCAAGGTCCACCTCTGTTTGGTGGTGAGATTTTTTAACCTTTATAGTATTGCTGTTTTATTTTTATTTTTTTGTAGTTTTCCATGTTCAAGTGGCATTTTTGTATGAATTTTTTTTCTTCTAACTCTCGGTGTTTTCTTTATATCGTTAGATCCGATGTCTGATATTTTTTGTATCTAATTCTCGGTGTTTTTCGTTTCAGAACACGTTGCTCTATGTTTTTTGGAATTTAGTTTTTGTAATTTTTGGTGTTTTGTTTATATCCTTAGAACAGCCGTTTGGTTGTATGATTTGCTTCTTTTTTTTGTTTCAGGACACTTTGCTCTTCGTTTTTTGGGGCTTCTATGTCCAGCTTCGAACCCGTTTATGCTCAAGGTAAATAATTTCAGTTTTTTCCTTTTAGCATTTTCTGCAACAAATTTTATTTTATTTTTTTTAATATTGTGAGGTTGTGTTTTCTGTAGTGTGAAAGTCGAATATGTGGGAATTATATATATAGATTAGATTTTGGTGTCTTTTAGGGTTTTATTCTGGAGCTTGCAAACCATTTTTGGGTCATGTATATACTTTATCTCTTTGCTGTTAAATTTATTTTCTATTTGGGTTTTTTGATTGTTTGTCGTTCAATTTTTTCCTGATAACTTAAAAAGAGAGGAATGGTCATGATTAATTTTTCCGTATTGAATGTCAAATGATCAGTGTATAGATACAAAAAATGATTTCAGTGTATGTAGGCAAGATAAAATTTCTATGTCAAATGGTGAAATATCACGACTTGGTTTCCAGTTTTAATGTTCTTTTTATGTGTTGTCTTTGCTTTCATAAATTGATACTTTATTGTTGATAAAACTGATTTGGTTTTGTAGACCATAATTTTTAAGCAACAAAATTAAGCTGGAAATTAAATTGAGGTATGAATGCTTCCACTTATTCAGGTTAGTCAATTGATCTTTTCCTTTACTGGATTTTATTTTTTAATGTTGTTTGATAAAACTAATTTGGTTTTGTAGATTAAGATTTTTAAGCGAGAAAATGAAGTTGGAAATTCAATTGAAATTGTAATAAATTTGCAAATTTGTCAAGTATATCTTACATTCGTGGTTCCATATTCACGTTACCCATAACTATTGAATTTTGTCTCTTGACTGGATGAATTTTTATAGCTTCCAGGATCTACAGTTGCAATGCCTTTGATGGATAAAACACAGAGGACCCAGCTACTCTTATAGAGCTTCTTTAGCATTGTAAGTTAAAATTGCATATCATTTTTTTTGCTTCATGGAATTCATTATGTTTAATAGCATACCAATTATGTGATACCAATTGTTATCTTAGCAGCTTCTAACAATTTGTAAAGTACGGATAAATGTGTAGAAGTTTGAATTATACATATGAAAGTTTCATCTATTATACTCTTTTACTAATTTTTGTTACACAATCAATCATTCACAGGTAATGCTATTCAGAGTGGTTCAAAGAATTTCAAGAGCTTCATTCATCCAATTTATGCTTTTCATGTAAAAATTCTTTCAATAAATTTAAACATTTTTCGGTGTAGATAACATTAACATTTTGTAACAATATATTATAGCTTTGAAATATTTTTTTCACACGATTTTTAATCCCGCAGCAACGCGCGGGCAATATTTCTAGTGCATACTAAGGGTAGATTCATAAATGAACTGCGCTAAACACACAAAAAAAGGAACATTGAGAGCAGCTGAGGCAATTTGACCAAGTTAATGTTGTCTATATATTGAGGAAAAACAAATGGTCATTAAATTGAAAAAAATAATAAAAATCAATACTATTTCAACTAAACTTATATTCCAACCAAGCAAAATAAATGCACAGTAACACTATCTATAACTAAAGAAATAATGAACTAAACAGATATAACAATGCATACTATCATTTCAATAGCAAAAATTAAAATTGAACACCACTTATTCAAAAAGACAAAAATAAAAAATTGAAATCAATACAATTGCTATAAGTTGTCTGAAGTGATTCTAATAATTAAATACAATTTTAATAGAGACCTGGTAACCTACAAAATATAATCTTCTATGCTCAATCCGGAAAGTGATTATCTAGTCACATGAAGGAATAAAGTGAGAGTGAGTTTATGTGTGGAGCTAAAACTTTATGTATATATAATTATATATAGAGACCTCCATTCCTCTCCTTTTTTCACTACTCATGGTACATATTTTCTGACTAATCTGTCTTCCTCCTCATAGGAGGCAACGTGTATTTGACTCCTTCATGCATGCTCCACTTGGCTCGGGGGATATAGCTCAGTTGGTAGAGCTCCGCTCTTGCAATTGGGTCGTTGCGATTACGGGTTGGATGTCTAATTGTCCAGGCGGTAATGATAGTATCTTGTACCTAAACCGGTGGCTCACTTTTTCTAAGTAATAGGGAAGATGACCGAAACATGCCACTGAAAAACTCTACTGAGACAAAGATGGGCTGTCAAGAACGTAGAGGAGGTAGGATGGGCAGTTGGTCAGATCTAGTATGGATCGTACATGGATGGTAGTTGGAGTCGGCGGTTCTCCTAGGGTTCCCTCATCTGGGATCCCTGGGGAAGAGGATCAAGTTGGCCTTTGCGAACAGCTTGATGCACTATCTCCCTTCAACCCTTTGAGCGAAATGCGGCAAATACATCACACATATCATCTTTTTAACAGTTTACGTTCTAAACAAATTTCACAGTGATAAACTGTTCTTCACTGTACATCTATCTTGTAAGTTCCATAATTTTCATCACCACCCTTCCTCAGTATCATGGTAAGAAACTCCATAACATGTATCCTCTTTTGGAAACATTGGGAGGAAAGCCCTAGTAAGCACTCTGAGAGTTTGGAAAAAATTATTAATCTTTACTTGATAAAGTAAGTGTGGGACATAATTTTTCAGGGCCGGAGTAAGACGGATTTGATTACACCTACTTCAGAAGTCCAGTCATAGACTCAGCAGCCTCTATTACAGAGCTGACTAAATAGATCAGCGGTGCCACCATCATCCTATTCATAGACTCAGCACCACAAGTAATCACACTTCTAAGAGGATGTAATATGCACTTCCTAGATATCCTCTGGGATTCTTCTGATTTAATAAGGATTCTACTATCCTAAAAGGTTCTTTCCTGGACTGGTATAAATACACCTTCTAGAGTTATCTCTGATAATGCAATCTCTGCATATTTATTCTCTTGCCTACTGCTTGAGTCTTATCGGGCTTTGACTGACACACATCCCCTCTGCGATCCTAGGCCTGCTTACGCCTATTTGTTCTTTTACAGGTTAACAAGTTTGGGAATTTCCATCACAAGTGGCGGTGCGTTACGTAAATTTGGTTCCAACTATAAGAATCTTGATTCATCCATTCCATCACAAAACCAAACAAAAAAAAACATAAAAACCCAGGCAAATCGAAGACGGACGACCACATTCCTGACCTTACCAGCACCGGACGTATACTAATCAATAAACCATTTTTCTAGATGTCTAGAATATATATAATATAACAAATGGGTTTCTCAGTTGAACTCGTATGCTTTAATTTTCCGAAATGGAGATGCAAAAAAATCAGAGAAATCAAACCAGAAACATAAGCGGAAGAGTGACTACTTGCTGTGGAACTTTGTTGAGAGAGTGATAGATGGTCTTCAAAAAGTAAAATTCAATAGAAAACCAAAATCAAAAGGAGATTTTACAACATTGAATTGATTATGGAGAGAGGGCTAGAGAGAGAGAGAGGAGAGAGATGACAATCTTATCTCTTTGCGTATTACAAATGAGGAGAGAGAGATGACAATCTTATCTCTTTGCGTATTACAAATGAGGAGAGAGAGATTACAATACCTTCTCTGATCTACGTATTACAAATGAAGGAAGAAGGATGATGTATCTTCGATTTAAGACTAATATAATTAGGGGTAGTGGGCAATTGCAACTGAAAACCAAAACCAAAACACGAACTAAATCAGACCACACCGAACGGTTTGGTTTGCGGTTTTGAAACAGTTTTGGTTTTGGAATTCTTTTATCATCATTTAAGTATAACATATGCAAAAAATCATTCATTTTGGAAATCTCTTAGCCATTAATGTGCTTCAAACAAATGGATGATTTATCATGACGATGATACTTGTTGACACGAAAGTTGCTCTCCATCATTCGATTTTATGTAGAAAACTTAGGGCATCTCCAACAATTTGGTTCAACTAGGGTTAACACATAACATTATATTCTTGTTTAGGTGAATCCTGTGGGGGTTAATTAACAGTTTACCAGAGAGTACCTGTGGCTGTGGATCATATTCTTGTTCAACTCTAGTAATCGTTGGAACACTTTTTGACTCTTATGAAATTTCAGTTTTGAGTTACATGTATTGAGTTAAGTCATTCTTCTTACCTACAAGAGTCTTTCATAAGATCTAAATTCAACATCTCATTCAACAAAGAAAGGATTGAATGTCACTGAACCAATGATCATGTGCTACTTTAGCCTTAATTGCAACATATGTTGAACATTAAAAATCCTAATCCATCATATTTAAGTGTATGATAAACTACTTCAAAAACGCGAATATAAATATCGCATTGTTAACAGGATTTAGTAACATGTATTTTGAGGGAGAGAAATGCATGATGTATAAGTTCTAACTAGATAGAGCTCAATTCTTATTGACTAAAAGTTACGACGCAAGATTCAAAAGTACAAAAACACATGTTACAAATAGAACAAAAGCACACAACCTCAACACACAAGCCAAGCTGCAATGTGCACAAACTATGTAGAAAACCTGTCTCTGTCATGAGGAGAAGAGTAGTCGATATTTGGGCCGATAGGAACTATTCCGGATGGATTGACAGCCAGAAGGCCGTAATAGCCTCGCCTTATGTGCTCCATGTTTACTGAGCTGCTCACTCCAGGAACTTGGAAGATATCTTTCGTGTAGTTAAACAAATTCGGGTATTCTCGTAGCAGTTTCTTGTTGCACTTGAAGTTGACTGCGTAAGCCTGGCATCAATGGGAAAACTTGTACCGTTAAAGACAATGTAATAACGATTGGCAGAATTTTCTGACAATATAAAATCTTGATTGAGGAAACAAGTATCAGTACCTCGTCGAATCTTATAAGAGTGACAAACAACCGAATATCTGCTTCAGACAATGTGTTCCCACACAAGTATCGTTGCTTGCTAAGTATCTCCTCGCATTTATCCAAAGCTTCGAACAATTCTTTCACAGCCTGAGAAGAGAAAGATTAACCAATGAATTTGAGATTGCGCAAATAGTCCTTAAAGATAATGTAAACACCAGAACCTACACAGTCGAAACTAATTACAGCTTGCAAAACATACCTCGTCATAAGGCTCCTGCTTCCTCGCAAACCCACATTTATAGACACCGTTATTTATCATGTCATATATCCATTCATTTGTCTGATCAATTTGAGATTGCAAGTGAGGAGGATATAAGTCCATAGATGCGTTTTCAGCCATGTCGTTGAATTCAGTATTAAACATACGAATTATCTCTGCACTCTCGTTGTTGACAATTGTTTTAAGTTTTTGATCCCATAGAACCTATAAAAGTAATAAGATGGATCACTTAGTTCCAGAAAATAAAAAATCTGAGAAAGCAGTAACCAGAATAACAACAGCGAAAGGAGAAAAAAAATGAAAAGGCCACTTAATATGATTGAACATACTGGAACTGTGTACTTTCCGGAATACTGTGTGCTTGCAAGTTCGTAAAGTTCTCTAATACTTTTGCTCCATTCAAAGGGTCAGGTTCAGCTCCAGCTACCTCGGCATCTGAAGCAGGAAAAAGCAACCCCATATGCTCATCGCTTTCTTTTGTTCTTCCCCACATTGGTTTGACTGACTAGCAAAACAAACACATATATATATATACTAGATTAATTTGTCTTTTGCAATGAAAATCTAGTAAGTAATAATCTAATATAAAGTGCTATACCGTAAAGCTGATGGCTTTCTCAAGTCCTTTGATTTTCAAGTATGCAAGGCACCTAGAAGCCCAAGGGCAACCATATGATATATACAGATGATATCTCCCTGGTTCTGCAGGAATAACTGTGAATTCGGGTCCCGTGAAATGAAGTTACGGAACACAGAAGCAGTTCTCAAAAATGCACCGGATTGTGATATCTCCGTAGTTTGAGCCATTTGATAGCTGTCTGAAGAATCAAACACACGAAGAAATCAGTTTCCCTTCCAATCGTTTGAATAAAATTATATGACTTCAAGCATATGTATATCATCCTACTGTCTTCAATCCAGCTATAACTCGAAAGTCAAACCTCGTATAGAACTAAAAGGAAATATTTACCCTTCCAAAGTCTGACTAATGAACAGTTGGATGAAACTTAAGTCACACTCTTTGTTCTTCGAAGTCAACGGATGATCTATGTAACAATTCTTACCCGCTGAATATTTTTTCTTGAAAAAGTTCTAACTGTTGGTATATGGTCCAGCCCATGATCAATGTTCTAGATTATTCTAGTAAGCAAGAGATGAGGCTGGAGCTTGCTAGACAATTCTAGCATGTTATTAAGTTGATGGAAGAAGCTAGAGAG